CAGCAATTATGCGGAAAACGAAATCGCTGATAATGACGCTGCCGTTGATGCGGAAGAAGAAGTCATTGCTCTCGGTGACTTGCATAATTTGAAATCAGTTATGGATCTGGAAATCAAAAAAAGAATGAAAAATATCGCTGCTTAACATCCAAAAAAAGAAATAACATGGAAGAATCTTCTGAAACATGTTGCTTCACATCTGTACACAATCAAAAACAACAGTTGTACTTCAAATGTTGTCAAGTTTGAAGCTTGATCTTAAACTGGCGGAATTGCCAAGGTCTGTAAACTTATTGATCGTCTTCAAATGGAAACTGCTAGATTGGTGTACATGTAAGTTTAAATCAGGACAATGTATTTTTAATTAACACTTATACTCATATTTCATATTTAAACCAATACCGTGTGGTATTTTCGGCAAATATTCACATTATGGATTGCTTGATGGGCTACTAAGACTTTCAATAGGATCAATTCTCAAAGATATTCGCTTTTATCTTGATGAATTGGTTTCTTGATTTCCTGAGTACTTTGCCAAAAAAACTTGCATATGCATATTATTATCCAATTTAAAAAAAAAGGTGGACATCGTGTTCACGGAATAATCCGCAACAGTTTGATGCGGGTAGAGATTTCAAAAATTGTTCTACCGCCAATGTATATTATAATTTTTTTTTTTTTTTTTTTTTTTTACATTATTCACCTCCCCAAGGCCCGAGGGGGCCACTACAGTCGAGGAGGCTACTCATTTTTTTGTGTTTTTTATTTTTTTGTTGTATTTCGTTGTACAACCCTTTCTCAACTCTTTAACTCCGAAACACGAACCTTGACAAGCAAGGCCGCTGCGCGGAGAAACTAAGTTGAGCGCGGTACTTCCAGGGACGTGGTGGGAGTCGAACTCCGAACCTCTCGCTTACAAAGCGAGCGCTCTTACCACTACACCACTGCCGCATTTCCAACTTCCAATTCCAATTCCAACTTAACTAAGACTTTTCCAATTTTAACTTAATTTTGAAAAATGTAAATTCTACTTATTTTATTTCTGACTTTTTTTAAAGAGTTGTCTAAGAGGAAGTGCTCTATTCAAAGATGGATAAAAATGGAGCAAAAACAAACATTGTACACTTTTCGAACTTCAATGAGAATGATTTTGGTTTCATCAAAAAAATTACTTCTGTCCATTCATTAAATAAATTTTATAACGTTGGAGAGGAAGGAAGCAAAACGAATGCCAAGTATCACGCCATATGAAACGATTGATTTTTTGGGACTTTACCATCTCTAAAGAATACCCGAACAATGTTGTACTTGTCAACAGTTCAATTGGCAAGCCAAAAATCTGCTTTGTTTCCGACATGCGAAATGATGGTGTAGAAGACAAATTCAAAGTGACAACTGCTTCTTTCAAAAAACAAAGAGATTTCTTTGAAGGATATCTGTGCATTTAATCAGAGATCAATATTTTTCTAATTTCTGGAGAGATAAATCATGACAGAAAACGCGAAGTTGATGTAGACTGCACATAAAATCAGTTCGTCTGCCTCTTAAATGAAAAGGAAGTTGCTGATATTGATGCTAATGCAAAAGAACTAGATCGATTAACTAAAAAAACTGCACAATACACACCCTTGTTCCATATGAAATATTTAATGACTAGTCATGCATATGCTATAAATAGTCAGTAAACCTATTTTTCCATGTATATATGTCATCATTTCCGGTATAAAGTATATACTTTTGATATCAAAAAATGTTCAGTATTTATTTTAAATAATTAACAACTAATGTTTAAATTTCTCGTAATAAAAAGAATAATAAGATAAAACATTTATGTCTCAAAATTTAGGCAACATATTTCTCACTTATTTGGACTTGAATCAATCCAATTATCTCGAAATTAGTGTCAAACATCTTCCTAACTCCTAACTCCCACTTCTCAGCCAAACATGTCCAAAAATCGTCAAAAAACGCTTTATTTCCGACTTAAATTAGAGTTTTTCACACTTTTTTGAGTCTTATTCCGAGTTGCGTTTTATTAGGGTAGTGTATTATTTATAAACGTTACTTTTATATGTTTAAATTTAACTGTGAAGTAAAATCTTGCACATCAATTACCTTCACATTTTAATATTTTGAAGTTGGTATTGTAGTTTTTCTTCCTCACTCAGTTAGCGTTAGAACACCATTACAAGTTGAATTTAAAACATACCCCTTTTCTTTTCCAGTTAAATCTTTTCCAGTTAAATCGTACTCAAGTTGCCATTTGAAATGGTAAATGCATATAAAAAAATAAGCAACATCCATTTTAATTTAAATAAAATGATAAAGTAAAAATAAAAGGATTTATACACCAACTATTACATTATTTACATATTGGAATAACTCTACTATTGAATAGTAACAACAAAATAAATTTCTTTAAAAGATCTGGTTGCTAACTATATCCCTACTAGAAAAGTTGCGTCAAAATAAAAGACTGAAAAGTTTAACAGAACTTGAATTAAATAAAAGATTTTAACAAAATTAAGTGTTTTAAAACTTGATGAAAATTTACCATAAAATAAAATGTTTTAAAATCAAACATTTTTATCTAAACTAACGCCCTTAAAAAATTAAAATAGATAATTCTAATTATCTTTCGTACTTTAACTATCTTATCTTATCCAATACACTGCTTATCTATGTTTATATAATACTTTGGTTATCAAATGTCAAATAAAACTAAAATATTTGTACTAAATCAAATAACTCATAAAATTCAAACTCATTCATGTTGTAATACATATACATATGTAGACTAGACATACTTTCAATACTATTGTAAATTATGCAAAGTAAGCAAATCTTTTGCCAATAATTAGAGTAAGATAAATATTTGTAGTTTTTACTGCATCATAATAAAATAATATCATATTAGAATGCATTATATCAACTTTACATTTATCATATTCCAGCTACTGCAATTATATCTAGTTGTTTATGTCAGCATATTTAGTTCAAATCATATTAAATGTAATTCATATTGTGATGCATTATTAATAAGACTTTATTTAACAGCTTTACACAACCAAATGAAAACCCATGCAAAAAATACTAATTACTTAAATTACAGCTGATTGTAACTCTACGAGTTACGATGGCATCTTTAACGTTTATCTTTTTACGTTTGTAAAAACCATAGTGCAACATGAGCAATGAAAAATAAAACCAAGGTTCACCAATGGTAATTCCATGGGATTTCAAATTCTATAGGAAAGTCATGGCTCACTCTTAGAATTTCTACATAATACATATGGAATTCTATGATATATTTTCATATGGCTCAGATAGGCTGAAATGACGGAACATAAAATGAACAGAAATGTGGATTTTCAATGGGTATCAAATCGCAAAGGATATAACGGTCTGAACTTTATAACATTTGAGACTAGTTTTTGAGCAAATAACCATTAATCAATAGGATAATACAATTTATACGGTGGTAAATGTTATAAATCTTTTCCAAATAGAGGTGGAGACGCATGAGAAAATAGTTTATATCAAGCAATTGCTTGATGGTTGTAAAATGTAAAAAAGTATTTTTTATAAACCGATCCTAAAGAATAAAAAAAAAATAAAACAAAATTGTGTATTTTAAGGTCAAGAACAAACAAGTAGAATAATTGTATGTGATGCAGAGTTAGTAGAAAAGTTTGAGCAAACTCTAATGTGTTGTGATGTTTGTAAACTATTGGTTTACATTAAATCTAGTGGAAAAATAAAGCGTGTTGGTAAGTTTTTTTAGCTTGTACATACAAGTAAATCACATGGTAAATCTGATTAAACATCAGAAGAAAGATAATTTTTTGAATGTGCTCAGGAACACTCAAGCACGTTTAAAAATATATTTCTAATACTAACAACAAAGCATAGTTAAAGATTGAAGAATTCACGTACACTAAATAGACTTGTAATAAGTAGCTGTGAGAAATGGGTGAAAAAAAATAATGATGTCCAGTGTGTTTAAAAAACAGAGAAAAAACGATAATGATAAATTAAAAACATGGCAAGACTCTTTATATTAAGAACAGATTTATAGATTTTAGGCAGCGATTAGGAGTAATTGCATTTAATAAAGTGCTTCAGATAGTTTAAACTAGCTTGGGCATGTACGCTAAAAAAATCCAGGTACCTGGGTATCAGCATGTAGAAAATTAAAATAAGTAAATTTAGAAGAAAGTAAACTTGTAAAGAGTGCATTACAAATGTCATAACAAAAGTCTAAGACATTAAAAAAAAATGTTCAAAGTTTTGTAGTGAACATTGTAGATACAGCCATGAAAAACTATCAAGTGCTAAAATCAAAATGGATTTCTGTGGTGCAATGTGGTGGTAATCTATTTATAGTACTGCGATGATCCTAGTTAATAGCAATCAATAATGACAAGGAATATCAAAGTTCAAATGTGAAATGTGTATATAATAATGTTATTTTTAAAAAAAAAAAATATTTCAAGTTATTTCATTAGCTATAAACTAAATTAGATTGTTAAAATTTCCGTTCTGTTGATAGTTTAATTAAGATAAAAGAAAAGTTTAAAGCAAAATACTTGACAAACTTTCCCTAATTACAAGTTTTCAATAATTAAAAATTGAATATAAAAATGAAAATTTAAATTATAAAAATGATCTTAGATATTTTTTAATCTAAAGTATTTATAATATATACATTTTAATAAAAAAGTTCTCTGATCTCCTAAAGTTTTCATTCAATAAGTATCTTTAGAGAGTTATTGAATGAAAAGTTATTTACATATTATTTATATAATATGTAAATATTATTTTGATTTTTTTAACATAAAATTTACAAATTTAATGTTTTAGTTATTACAAAGAATTATAATATCATTATTAAAAAAATACGAAAAAAAAAAAATAATAACAACTTCAAAAATATTAATAACAAAAGTTTAAATAATATTATTAACAAAAAGTTATAAACATTATTTTGACATTTTTAGGCGGAGCTGCTATGACAGTATTTGACATTGGCATTATGTTGTTAGTTTCAAGTATTTTATTTATAATAGCACAATTTAGTACTTCAAAGGTTTGTGTAAACTATGACTGAAATTAAATGTATTAATTTTGATTTAATTCGAAATTTAATTAAATGAAAGGAATAATAATACAAATATATATATATATATATTAGGGTGGTGCTTAAAACAACTTTTTTGAGAAAAACCTGCTGGTACCCCCCTAAATGTGTTTTATCTAATACAAAAACACTAGGTTTAAAATTTTTTTGAACAAAAAATATTTTTAGGGGTAGCTCAAGGCCCTCAAAAATTTGACGGGTCCCTAATATTTTGAAAAAAAAACTTTTTCTAAAGTATGTCAACCTGGTACTCAAAATAAGCAAAATTATATAAAAAATTTAAAAATGAAAGTAATTTTTTATAAAAATAATTTTTTCAGGTATAAATGCATAAAAACTATTGTTTTTAAGCTAAAAATAAAAAAAATCAATATTTTTAGGTTTTTTTGAGAATAATTTTTTTAAGCATGTTTTTTATGTAAAATGATTATTATTTTTGAAGTTTTAATATAATATCGCTTCTTTTGAGTACCAGGTTGACATACTTTAGAAAAAGTTTTTTTTTCAAAATATTAGGGACCCGTCAAATTTTTGAGGGCCTTGAGCTACCCCTAAAAAAAATTTTTGTTCAAAAAAATTTTAAACCTAGTGTTTTTGTATTAGATAAAACACATTTAGGGGGTACCAGCAGGTTTTTCTCAAAAAAGTTGTTTTAAGGACCACCCTAATATATTTATATATATATATATATATATATATATATATATATATATATATATATATATATATATATATACATATATGTATATATATACATATGGATATATATATATATATATATATATATATATATATATATATATATATATATATGTATATATATATTTATATCTATATACATATATATTTATATATATATATATATATATATATATATATATATATATATATATATATATGTATATATATATATATACACATGTATATATATATATATATATATATATATATATATATATATATATATATATATATATATATATATATATATATATATATATACATATATATATATATATATGTATATATATATATATATATGTATATATATATGTATATATATATATATATATATATATATATATATATATATATATATACATATATATATATATATATATATATATACATACATATATGTATATATATACATATATATATACATATATATATATATATATATATATATATATATATATATATTCATATTTATGTATATATATAAATATATATGTATATATATATATATATATATATATATATATATATATATATATATATATACATATATATATATATATATATATATATATATATTTATATATATATATATATATATATATATATATATATATATATATATATATATATATATATATATATATATAAATATATATATATATATATATATATATATATATATATATATATATATATATATATATATATATATATGTATATATATATATATATATAATTTTTATATATAATTATTAAAATAATAATTTTTTTCTTTTAGTTACAATATAGACTTGGTGCTAAAACGGTTGGTCTTGCTTTTTTTTTTTTATTTAATTTGATTTTATGTGTTTAATATTCTCATATATTTAACATTAAAACCTTGAATTGTCATACTGCGTTACTTAGAAATGGATATATTGTATTTTAAGTTTAAGCTTTAAAGTTAATTGTATATATATATATATATATTTTTCATAACCTTGCATTGTTTTAAAAATGCATAAGGGTACTATAAAATAGAAGTTTGAAATGTTTTTTTATGAGAATAACTTTACTGCTACAACAAAATAACAACAAGTTATTTTTATTCCGTAAATCTTTTTTACTACTACTAATAATAATAACAACAATAATTTATCCTGGGGCCTCTTAAATTTTAAATTTTTATTAACGATCTACCAGATACAGTAAAATATAATAATAAAGTATTTGTAGGTGATCGTAAAACTATAAATATATTTCATCCTATGAATATATTCACATAAATAAATTACAGCAACATATTGCAAATATTATGAAATGGTCAATTATTATGATTACTGAAATTCAATTTTGATTCAAATATAGTAAAAATTTATATAAAACTTTTTTAAGATAACATATTGAGTTTCCTGTTTAAACACAGTGTCCTGATCTGAAACAAGTTATTTTAAAGATAGAAAAAGTAAAAAGAAGGGCTACAAAACTAATACTAGTTTTTAAAAAAATGCTGTATGAAAGAAGATTACAGTTAATGATATCAACAACACTAGATAAGCGTCATTAACGAGAAGATTCAGTTTTTCGATATAAAATACAAAATGGTTACGAGGAGATTAATAGGAGAAACGAATCAATTTGTAAAACTCAATTAAATCTTTACTATTTTTGTGGTTATAACCAAGAGTTAACAAATGTGTATTGTAATAATAATGCTAGATTTAATTTATTTTCGGGTGGAGTTGTAGAAGCTTGGAATCGTTTACCATCATACATTATAGAATCAAAAGCAATTAATTAATTCAAAAAAACTTGATAAGTAAAACTATTGCAAAAGTTATTTACTAAATAATACTAAATTAAGACTATATACATTAAAAAGTAAACAATGCTGTTATAAAAACAATTATAGTTGTTAAAGCACAACATCATCTGCTTAACTGCTCCACAATTGATTTAACCAATTTTCTAGGATATTTATATTATCATTATTATTGTTATTATTATTATTATTATTATTATTACTATTATTATTATTTTTATTATTATTATTATTATTATTATTATTATTATTATTATTATTATTATTATTATTATTATTATTATTATTATTATTATTATTATAGTAATATTAATGATATATAACAAAAAAATTTATAATAATAGTAATAATAAGTATGTTTACAATAATTACAATGAAAAAATCATCATAATTTTAAATATTAAACTGGTAGCTATTAGCATAAAATTATTTATAGTAATAAGCTAATTTAATAGTTAGTGTCACATCTGGTCAAAGGAGTGACAATATTTTTTAAATATGATATAACTAACAACTGAGGATGATTGTAGTAATAACAAAAAAAAAAACTTAGTTAGTATGGATAATTATGTTTAAAATTTAGAATCAAATGTTTTTCAGAAATGATTTTGTTTAAGAAGGAAAAAGATTTTTATGATGTAGTTTTTAGGACTCATTCAAAATCCATACAAGATTCCTGATCTACTCATAAACAATAAAATGTTTACCATACGTCTGGGTTTTAAGATATGGTATATTTAATTTTCCATTGTATATAGTTCTAGTTGATTAGGGATGTACTAGTCTACTTTCTGTGATAGAAAATGGCAAATTTCTATTTAAGGAGTCCAAGACAAAATAAAGATTAGCTTTCTTTGCTAGTGCTGGGAATGGTGGAAAGTTAAGTTTTTTGAGAACTCCGAGGTACCTGATTTATTCGGTTGGAAGTTTATAAACTTAATTGATTAGTTGAAACGATAGCAACTTGTTAATGAAACATTTTCCAACTTGAACCCAAACTTGACAACAACAGCTAAGATGAGATGAGAATAATGCATAGTAAATATTCTTAAGTGTTACTTTATTAACATAATGATAAATTAGTAAAAGCATACTCTAAGCTCAAGTTTCTTACTTAGTTCAGCAGTGTGAAAGTTCCATAAAGGATTGCAGTCAATTAAACTCCCAGATATTTAATAACTCTCTAAGGATTTAGTCATTTATTATTAATCTTGAATTTAACATTTTTAAGGAAATATATATTTTTCGGAAATAAAGAAAAAATTGTTTAGTTTTTATTGTGTTAATATATAATAAGTTAGCACTACACTTTTTAGATCCAAATTTATATTTTTATATGTAGAATGTTAAGATATGTGCAGGAGATTTGTATCATAAGCTAACAGTTGAATGACATGAAGTAAACAGAGTTGGTCGTAAACGTAGAGTAGAACCAAAAGAGTAACCTTGAGGAACACCACATAAAACAGATTTGTTACTAGAGTTAAAACCATTAATCTTCCAAGTTGTTTTCGATCCAAAAAGAAATCAGTTTAGTTTCTACGATGTTAACATATACTAGGTTAGCACGACACCTTCTAGATCCGAATTAAAATTTTTTCTTATAGAATGATATGATTTGTGCAATGACATATGATTTGTATCATAAGCTAACAAACGAAATGACACGAAGTGTACAGAGTTGGTCGTTAACGTAGGTTAAAAGCAAAAGAGGACTAAGAACAGAACCTTAAGGAAAACCACACAAAACAGATTTGTTACTAAAATTAAAAAACCATTATTACTTACAAATTGTGTGCGATATAAAAAATAAGATCTCAAAATTAGTCATTTGCATGAGTTCCATGATGTTCTAATTTTGAAAGCAAAATACTATAGCAGAACCGACAACACTGAGGGAGGAGAATAGGCTGAGGGTTCACGTGCTCCCTCTATTTTAATCAAACGGACTTTTTTTATATAAAAAATTCAAGATATATAGGACTTTTTTTAAGAACTTGATGAGATAGCCTCTCTAATTCGAAACACGTCTTGTTGGCCATATATGGTCAACGGTATTGAAAACTTTGTGTAAACCTATAAAAACACCACTAACAATATCACCAGTATCAAGGGCTTTTTCTAAATTTTTTTGTTATACATAATATTGAATAGCATTTTGAATGCTCTGATCAAAAACCAAGTTGTATATTATTTAAACAATTAAACGAGTTTAAAAAAGAGTACATTTTAGAATACACAAGTTTCAAAAAGCTTTCTAAAGTATGATAAAAAGGAATTAGATCTGTAGTTAATGCATAATAGTATAGAGCCCAATTTAAATCTTAGAAGAACGCAACAAAATTTCAAAATGTCGGGACATGTTTTATTTAATAACGATGTATTAAGTAGTTTAGAAAAAATATTTGAAAGTTCGGGAGCGCGTCGAATAACCGAAAGACCAATTCCGACGATTAGTCGATCCCAAAACCCGAAAATAGAAGAAACACTTTCCGATTCCAGTCGAAAGTCATTTTAACTGTAAAAAATAACATGTCTACTATTATTCACTGGTTGCCACTAATAATAGTAGAATTCTTCTAAATTTTGTCATAGTCTGTTTAATACACGAATTTTGTACAGTCCAAAAAATAGTCGATACCCTAAATTTTGTCAATTTCTGTGTTTTAGTCGAATTCTGCCACTATCTGTTAAATAAACGAATGACAAATACCTGATTTGAGTCGAATTTTTTCTGAAGAATTGGTGGACTTGTTAAATCATCGAAATACGTATTGGCAAAGAATACAAACAGTCGAAAATGTTTTCGGCTATTATACGGGTATGCCACTATTTTTAGTAGAAAGACAAAAATACATTGTCCAAGTCCGTTAACCAGTCGAAATTAAAATTCGGCTATTCTCTGTGGCTGCCACATAAACCAGTCGACGGCTATAAAAATTTGGCAGCGTCATCAAAAGAGTCGAATTTAATTAAACCGGTCGAAAAATTAATTAAACCATCCAAACTATCGAATTTTGACTATAACCACTAGCCTGTACGTATTTTGAGTCGAAATGTCAGGGTTTTTTTTGAAATAAAAACATTTGTTTTAACCGTCAATCACTTCTTATTTATTTACAAAGGTTTAGGATCGTGAATATTCTCACAATCCGGAGTAGTTTCACTAGAACTGAAGTATAATTTCGACTCAAAATACGTACAAGTTATAGTCGAAATACGATGGTTTGGAGAGGTTTAATTAAATTCGGCTCTTTTGATGACGCTGCCAAATTTTTATAGCCGTTGACTGGTTTATGTGGCAGCCACAGAGAATAGCCGAATATTAATTTCGACTGGTTAACAGACTTGGTCAAAATAAAACAGTTCGATTATTCATCAGAACACGTCATGACAAATAGTCGAATTTCATTTTTCGACGATTTATAAATGTTTGTCCAAATAAATTCGGTTAGAAATGATTTATGACAATACACAAATTCGACTGGTTATCGGAACAGGTTTTATTTCGATTATTTGACTGTATTTGACAAAACTATCAATTCGGGTAGTTGTCAAACCTCGTTATAGTTCGTTTAAAAACAAAATACGTCATTCGACTATATCACAGACTACGTCAAAATCGTGTTTTTCGTCGACTGTTTGTAGAACGTGCCAAAATCTTATTTTTTTTCGACTATAATACGGAATTTGTTTATTCGGCTATAAATCGGATTTTGTTTTTCGGTTATTTGTCTGTTTCCCGAAAGTTCATAGTCAAAATCTTTACAAACATTTGTAGGAATGCTATTTAGATGATGATTTTTTTTATTCAATCAGATATAAAAGATAAAATTTCAGGCGTATTTGTTGGAGATAATAATAAACTATATAAATATAAATATTTAAGATATTTTTGATAGTTAAAACATTTACAAATAATTGGGAGATAATTTACTAAAATTTTTGAAACAGATTTTATAATCTTTTTTGTAATCTTTAGTTTGGATCGACGTTTAAAGTTT